ATTTGTGCGGCTGTTTATGTTTGCACATTGCCTTCCTCTGAATGTGCCCTGTTCCTGCTGACCTCTGGTCTCCGCCGCCCCTGATGCTCCTTCCCTCCCACCAGGTCCACGCTCTTTAACGCCCTCACTGTGCCTCTCTTGGCCTTCAAATTCTACCTCCTCCAGGAAGTCTTCTGTGATGCACCTGCTCTCCCCTAGCGTGTGGAATGCCCTTCTAGTGTGCTACTGAAATACCAGCTTGCTCTGGGGCTGGAGAATGACCTCCACTGCCTGCATCCCTCACCACAGCAGGCTTCGATTTGCAACGCTCCTCCTGGATCCCTAGCCCCGTGGCCTGTGACTGTTGGAACGACTATCTGCCTGGCAGACACTGCCATTGGAGGCCTCTCCCCTCTGGGACCTGCAGTCCCATGAAGAGGTTCCCGACTTCATTTCTTCGAGGCTTGTCAAAGCTCTAACGACCTCCTCCCATGGAGCGGGGAGCATCCAGCGTCGGCCCAGATCCAAGATCTTACCCTTTCCCTCTGGCTGTATTTGCTGCTAACACTTGACATGCTGCCAAGGGCCCGGGGGTAAAATTCCCTACAGGGACGCAGTTCCAGGGACCCAATGTTATAGCCACTCTCCTGGCCCCAGCCCCTGCCCCAGGGGGTGGGCTCAGCCAGAGGAACCTGGCTGCAGCAGGGCATGGGGACCTGCCCTCTTGATTTATGAGGGCTAAGTTGCACCTGCCCCCCTGTTCTTAGCACCCACAAAGCAACCCACCTGTTCTCTCCATCCCTGCTCCTGCCGCCCTGGGTCAGAGCCCCAACGCCACCTTTTTGCCTGGGATGTAGCAAAGGTCTAACCAGCCTCCCTGCCTCTGACCCGTCGCTCTCATTGTGTGAAATCCCACTCAGGGAGTGATTTCCCTCAGATGTCAATCTGACCATGATTAAAGCCCTCTGGCGGCTCCTCACTGCCGACAGGTCAGTCTAAGCGCGGCCAAGGCCCCTCCGGTCAGCTTCATTCTTTGCCACTGCCCACAGGCCTGCGCTCTAGGCGCCAACGACCAGCATGTTCTCCTTGGGCTCCCTACTTTTCAGCTGCTCTGCCCTTTACCTGGTACTTCCTTCGTCTTATTTGTTCAATTCCTTCAATACATATTTGTTAAGTGCTTATGATGTGCTTGCTTCTCTGCTAGATAAAGTCCCCAGGGGTGAAAAGGACAGACCTTGTATTCTGGTCTTCTATTTGGGAAAAGAGATAGGAGACAGTTGCATGAACCAACTAACTGTGAATAGGAACAGGTGCTCTGACGAAAAGAACTTGGGGCACATCACAGTGACTTCTCGCTTTACTGGAGGGGCAGGGCGGGGCAGGGCAAGTGTCCCAGGATGACGATGCTGGGTCTGAGACGTGAGGATGCCTGGGGGCAGGGGGTTCCAGGCAGAGGGGAAGCAAGCACAAAGGCCCTGCCTTGGGAATGAGCCTGGAATGCAGAAGGAACAGAGAGGTGGTGGGTGTGGCTAGTGCACAGTCGAGGGCACAGTGTTTGGGCCCAAGTGCTGTGGAGGGCGCTCAGAGAAGGCTGCCCTCTCGCTCCTGGCCCTCTCCGTACCCAGAGAGACCGTCTTCTTGGCATCTCTTAACACTTGTTACGCGGCGAGTGACTTCCGTATAGGGATGGGGTCAGCCTCTAAGTTCAACCCCAGTGCCCTACACGGTGCCCGACAGATGGCTGGCATTCACACATGCTTGTTGAGCAGATAAATGCAGTCACAGACTGTGAGAAGGACCACTGATGCCGTTCCTACCCCGATGACCCACCAGGGGAAGCAGGTGGTAGGAGAAGCGGGGTGGGTCATATCTAAAGGGAGTCCCACTTCATGAGGCGCTGAACAGCACACTTGGGGGACTCACTGATGGGGACAACTGACGGATGGCTTCATCCTGCCAAGGCTTTTTATGTGAGTCTCTTCCATGCAGGAAAAAACAAAGGCAAGAAAATGGTTTTCATTTAGTGTTTGGGGGAGAAAGTGCCGAATGGGCACTCAGATATTGATGATGATGGCAAATACCGATTTGAGCAGGAAGGCAAAACCAGAACACAGCGTTTGTCGAAACCTCTAAGTGCTTCCCAGAATCTGAGCCAGAGTTCAAGTGCTTAATGGTATTTTTTCCTCTACTTCCAGTGGGAGTGAAGGGCAGACACCGGCAAAGGCCTGGAGGGTGATGCGGGGAAGGGCCGGAGCTTGAGGGGACCCCACTGTGCCCCGGGAGCTGAATACCGGAGGGCAGGGTGGCAGTCTTCTCTAAGTGCTCTCCACAGCTGTTGTCCCAAGCACTGTCCCGGTAAAGGGCCAGGTAGATGTGTCCTCTACACCTTCCACAGACACCCTCCCCTGCCACTGGGAGCCGAAAAGAATTCTCATGACATCCAACATAAGTATATAAACAATAGGGGCACCTGGGTGGCTCAATCGTTAAGCATCTGCCTTCGGCTCAGGTCATGATCCCAGGGTCCTGGGATCGAGCCCTGCATTGGGCTCCCTGCTCCGCGGGGAGTCTGCTTCTCCCTCTCCCACTCCCTTTGCTTGTGTTCCCTCTCTCGCTCACTCTCTGTCAAATAAATAAAATCTTAAAAAAAAAAAAGAGTATAAACAATAACAGTAATAGTAACAAAACAGAATTCTGACTCTTTCACCGGCTCACAATATCCTTCCAACCTGCTTCCTGCCTTCCTGATGCTCAGCTTCTGCTGTTCTCCTCCTCCCGCTCCAGCCCCCGGGGAACATTGGCCATCCTGCAGGTCCTCATATCGGCCCTAGCTTGCCCCAGGGCCTTTGTACTGGCCACTCCCTGCTCCCTGGAATGTACTTCCCCTGCTCTGCCACCTCCCTCCCCAGCTTTCCTGAGGTATAATTGGTAATATAAAAAAATTACACGTCATGAAAATAATTTGGTGACTTTGGACTTATGTTACCTTTGGGTTACTTTCACCACAATCAAGGTAATGAACATATCCATCGCCCCCACCCCCTGCAAAGTTTCTTAGTTTTTTTTTCTGTGTGTTACGAGTGTGGTCAGAACACTTAACATGAGATCTACCCTCTTAAAATGTTTAAGTGCACCATACCCTGTTAACTACAAGCACTATGTTGTACAGCAAATCTCTGGGACTTACTCATGTGGTGTAACTTCGTACCCACCGAACAAGGGCTCCCCATGACCCCGCTCCCCATCCCCTGGTAACCAACATTCTGTTGTCTAGCTCTGTACGTTTACTATTTTAGACGCCTCCCCTGTGAGGCGTCATGCAGTATTTATCCTTCGGTGACTGGCTTCTTTCACTTAGCGTACCATCTCCCTGGCCCACCCATGTTGTCAAAGGGTAAGTTTTTAGGGTTGTTTTTAAGGTTGAACAACGTTCTATTGGACACACGCAGCACATTTTATCCGTTCACCTGCGGGTGGGCAGGGAGGTTGTCTCCGCCTGCAGCCAACACGAGGAATGCTGCAGTGACCAGTGTACATACTGTCTTCAGGGATCCCAATCTCAAGTGTCTGGGAGACATCACAGAAGTGGGGCTGCTGGGTCAGAGGACGTTCCTCTTTGTCATTTCTGGGGGATCCTCCCTCTTGTTCTGCACAGCGGCCTCGGAATCACATATTCAGCCAGTAATGGACAGCATTCCAATTTCCCCATGTCTCACCAACTCCCGTTATCTTTTGTTCTTTGGTAAAAGCAGACATCCTAACAGGTGTGCGGAGGTAGCACGCTGTGGCTTTGACTTGTATTTCCCTCACCCCTTGCTCTTCTATGGCTGGTTCTTTCTTGTCATTCAGGACTCAGAGGGAACATCACCTCCTCGGGGAAGCTCCCCCCCTCCCCCACGACTCTGCAGACCAGTGGAGTAGCCCAGCGGCTCGTTAATATGCCACCATGGAGCACCTGCCACTGGCTGATCACTTTCCCTGAAGGTTCATATGGTTATCAACTGTTTCCCCCTGAGAATATTAGCACCACGACCGCAAGGACCGGTGTCCTTTTGTACCTGTGAGTGCTCAGTGCTCAGAACAGGAAGGCCCTCAGTAAATGTTCGCCGAATAAACAAATGACTTGTGTGTCTAATACTGAGGGTCAAGGAAAGGGAGGAAATACTTACTGAGCATCTGACATATGGCCGGGGCTGAGCCAGGTGCTTCACATGCAATTTCATACTTAGTCTCAAAACACGCCTTTAAGTTTTGCATCTCCATTTGGTGGTTGAAACGGAAGCACAGAGAGGCTGAGTAACTTGCCCGAGGTCACATATTTGGTAACTGGACAAGCCCAGGTCAGCCTGACCCGCCAGGCCCTCCCTGCCTTTTTCCTGACAGTGTGCTTCTTCCCCATTTCCTGCTCCCCAGAACTTGAAGTCACTCTCAACTTGGCTCCTTGCTGGCTGTGAGCAACCCACTGAGCCTCCCTGTGCCTCCACCTCTCCACTCCCACTGGGGAAAGGAAGAGGGTCTCTGTGAACATCAGATGAGATATAACATAGGAAAACATTATCAGCAGCGAAGAAATAGGAAGATACAGGTGCTAGCTTTGCCTGTGACCACGTACCTAACACTTTCTTCGCCTAGGCGAACCCTCCAGGAGCCAGTTACTCGTGAAGATCTTTGATGCCAGCCACGCGCTGACCACACTGAATCCTCCCGACTCTCCCACGTGGCTGCCATGTCCACAAGGACCTCAGAGTTTCCCGGCTATGGAGAGACACGCTGTCTACTGTTTCACGGGAGCTCTGGCTCCGGCTTCCTCCGCTTGGAAACCCCCTCCTGACCCCACCCTGTGCGGGCCGAGCGTCCCTGCTCTGCACCCACAGCGAAGGGCATGGAGGGGAGCTGCTGATGCACCTGTCTCCCCCAGCAGCTGGGATGCCCAGGGCAAGCTCCGCCAGCGTCCTGTCCACCTTGGGCGAGCCTGGAGCCCGGCCTGGGGGGGTGCTCCCTGTGCCCCACGAGCCACTTACGTTTTCACTGTTGACATCAGCTTCACTGGGGCAGCCGAAGAGCTCTCGCCTCAGGAGGTTGCCGTCGTACTCCAGGAAGGTCAGGTAGAGGTTGCGGAAAAACTCCACGTGCTTGTTCTTCACCCGCAGCTTCTTGGGGGAGTTCCAGTGGATGACCTAGCAGGGAGACAAGGAGGCAGGCAGGCAGGGAGGACCTCGTGCTCGTGCGCAGAGTCGGCTGGCCACCGGTCTAAGCATCGTTTGTGGGCTTGTCCATTCACTCACTCACTCACTCGCTCACTCACTCATTCCTTCACCATTCACGGTGGTGGTGGGTCGGGGGGTGAAGAAGAAGGGTGCTGAGGCCGTGCAGTGTGGGTTCAAATCCTGCCTCTGACCTTGGGCAAGTGACTTACTGTCCATGCCTCAGTTTCCCCGCCTGTGAAATGGGGAGAGCAACAGCTCCTGCCTGTACCAGCGTGTAAGCTCCTTTCTCTCAGCTCCCAGCCTGCTTTGCGATGCTGAGGTTGGGACTCTGCAAACCCCACTTCTACTTTGTCGGCCGCCTCCCGTTAGATGCTGCCAGCCGGGGCCACAAGAGGGAGACTGGGAGTTTGGGGGAGGAAAAAGGAACGTGCCCCCCCCCCCGCCCCCCGCCCCGGTGCTTCCTGTTCCTGCAAGCGCCACCCTACCTCCCTTCTTCGAGGCAGGCACCAGGCACTTCCTTCCAGTAGCAGCAGCTAGAATCGTTTTGCAGCTTTCCCAGCACTCAGGATGAGCTTCCTGGTCTGCCTCTGGAGCTGCCTGCTGTCCCCCAGCCCAGGTTGTAGTGCTCCCCATCCCCCCTCTGCTCCTTCGGCTCTGGGGCGGGAGCTGTTTTCCTGCGATTTTCTAGTTTTGCTTTTTTTTTGGTTACCAAATCAACACTTTATGTCTAGTTGCCATTTTTTAAAGATTAAATTCTCTGTTCAGATAATTGGTATGGTTGCTGCCTCCAGCCAGGACTGATGGATGCACGGTGTCAACAGAGCTGCCGTGAAAAATAAACTTGTTCATACGTGTAAAGCGTGCGAGTCGTGTCTGGCAAAAGGTGAGCGCTCCATAAAGGCTGGCTAGTAAGTGCTTACGGTGGACCAGGTTGGGAGGGGGCAGCGGCCTCTGCTGACGGTGCTCACCCTTGGTTGGCAGGCGATTGGCCAGAGACCTGTCCACAAACGGCACAGAATGTGATGGTGGAGGGAGGCTCAAGGGGAACGGGAGCTCTGCAGCAGGAGCTCTAGTGATGCATGGGCTGGGGCTTGAAGGATGAACCAGAGTTTCCCGGGAGGCAGGGGCCAGTCAGCACAGAGGGGATGGTGGTGGCACGGTCCAGGCAGAGGTGGGTGGGAGAGAGAGGAGGCTGCGGAGGTGAGCAGGGCGCAGGGAGAGCCTGGCTCCATGCAGGTCATGCTCAGAGCTCAGCTGTGGCGCTGGGGAGCTTACAGAGGGGGAGATTACTAACTCCGGGTTTCAGTAAGATGCTCTGATGTAATGGACAAGCCAGGAGTGGAGGCGTGGGAGGCCAAAAGAGGAGCTAGCAGGGACAGCTCGTGCCCTTGGCCGGGGAGCTGTCTGGGGCAGGGAGGGGGTGGGTCCTTCACCACCAGGATTACGTCATGGTCCTTTTAATGCTCACGGTGACCTGAATAAGGAATGCAATTTTAGAGATGAAGAAACTGGAGAAATGACTTGCCCAAGGCCACAAAGTTGGTAAATGTGGCAATGGGGATTCAAACCTAAGTTTGAGTAAACCTGATTCCAAAAGCCCCTGTTCTTCTGTCCTGGAGAAGCCAGGTTTTTAAAACTTCCCTGTTAACGCCTGGTCACATTACAGAAGAAATAAACTAGCTCTCACCTTCCCCCCACTCGCCTCCTATGGTGGAGGGACCAGCATAGCTGACACTGAGACAGAGGAAGGGAATGGGGTGTCCAGAGCTCGGTCCCTTCCTGGCTCCCTCCTTCAGCCATATTCTGTCTGCAGGCACCTGAACAGGGCCACCATTTGGAGAGATCTGGAAGGCCCCCTCTCTCAGGGCCCCCTGGATATATGGCAGCCACAGACAGCCCTTGCAGCTGGCTGGGTAATAACGCCCTGCAAGACCAGCTCCCTCTCTCATGGCACAGGCAACAACAGGAAACCTATGTGGTACAAACCGCATCCCCCGCCCTCCCATGACCTGCATTGTGCAATGGCAGAGCCAGAACCAGGGACATCAGGCCAGCCTGACCGTGAATCTCAGCTCCTCATTAGCTGTGTGGGTCCTTGGGCAGCTGGTCTTATTCCCTGCGGCCTCAGGGTCTTTACGTGCAAGGTGGGAACCTATCATCCCGACTCCACAAAGTCATTACGAGGCTTAAGGAAATGCCTAGCCCAGTGCCTGCAGGCCAGGGTGACCCCGAATTCTGTGGGTTCCCTTCTTCCCTCACAGATGGCAGCAGCGGCCTGCCTACCAGCACTCTGCGCCCCCCTCTCCTCCTGCGAGAAGGATGTCCACTGGAGCAGTGAGCAAGGAAGTGTGTTTGGCATCCAGGGCAGTGCAGCAGGGCCAGCAGACCCTCCCTGGGAGGGGGCCACTTGGCGGTGTCTGCATTTCAGGGAGGGGGGAGCGTGCGGGGTGCATTCTCTTCCTGTGCCTTTTGAAGGATGCAAGAGGGAAGGAGAGGGGAGATTCTCCCCCGAGAATACACCAACCCGGGCATGAGAAGGTCCTGGGCCACGCATTAAAGTAATTGCATGTGAGCTGGTGTTACTCACACCCTGTGGGGATCATGTCTTTGCTGCAAGAGATTTTGGTGCTTGCCAAGTGCTGAGCCAGCAGGAAGGCTGATGGATGTGTATCTGACTCAGGAAACTTGAACTTCTTCAACAGGGAGAAACTTACACTAAGTAAAAATAAGGGCTGGCGCGTGGGTCCCCGGACAAACAAATCTTTACTCCTAGTGCACAAATCTGCCAGGCACTTTGGAGACACTGTGTCATTAAATCCCCCAAAAAAGCCCATTCGGATGCCACTGTCCATTTTATGAAGATGGTCCCTGACTTGTTTGAATCTCACAGCTGGTAAGCGGCAGAGCTGAGACACGAAGCCAGCTCTCAGCCCGAAACCCCAGGTTGCTTACTGCTATCGTGTACGGCCTCAATGGGCTGAGCCCTTTGCAGATGAGGGCCGTGAGGCTTACAGAGGAGGAGGAGGCTTGCCTGAGATCACATGGTGAGTTTGGACCGGGTCAAGACTATGACGAGGACCCAGGTCTGTAGGTGCCCCCAACCCACTCCAGGCCACCCCTTATCCCTCCATATCTCATTCTGTTCTGTGTCCAGGCAGGGATCTGGGTCTGCCTATTGCCTCTGGGTAGATACTGGTGCTTGGTGTTCTAGAAAAAGCAGCAAAAGGTAAAGGAAGGTGGGGGAGAAGATGGTGGGATTGCCGGCAGGCCAAGGGGATTTGGGAAAACCCTTTGCAACCTGGCTGCCCTGGGACAGGGAAGCCCACTCAAAGGCTTACTCAAAGATCCTGGTGCTTGTCAAGTGCTGAGCCAGCAGGAAGGCTGAGGGATGTGCGTCTGGCTCAAAAAACTGGAGTCTCCCCAACAGGGAGAAACTTAATGTATATTCAGATTTACTTTTTTCTCCTTCCTGTGCTAGGCTCTAGAGAGGTAAATAATAGCTATGTTTACCTAATACCCACTATACACTAGACATCAGGCCACCGGCTGGTGTGTATGCGTGTGTGATGTTTTCGCATTCAATCCTCAAAACCACCTGGTAAGGTTGTTTCTATTATCCCCATTTTATAGACGATAATGCTGAAGCCGAGCCTAACTCAGGGTCACTCAACTAGTAAGGAACCAATCCTAATACAAAATCAGGTCTGTCTTCTGCCCAAATCTTTTTCTTTCTACCACATCATGCGTTCATTTGATACATATTAAAAGGAGCACTGAGTGTGTGCCAGGCACTGAAAGGGGCCATGACTGCAAAGGCGGACACAAGGATCACGACTCTCTTTCTGGAACTTACAACTGTGAGAGGGAGCAGGATGTAAACTAACTGTCCACTTTAAATTACAGGTGTGGTATGTTCTCTTAAGGAGCTGTTGTTAAAGAGAGGTTGTCAGTGATGGTTTCTGGGCAGGGCCGCCTCGAGTATAAAGAAACCAAGGCCCAGGGGGAGAAAGTGACTTGCCCGGAGTCACACAGCAGGAGAGGGAGAAGTCATGCCCACATTCTGTCTCCCAGGGTACTGTTCCTTCCACTAAACCATATGCCTGCTTCGGAAAATCCGACTCAGGATTAGTATTGCTGATAATTTTGATCAGCGCTTGTCTACTAAGAAATGTCATTTCCTGGTCCCTTGAGGGACAGCATCACCCATCATTGCTGGCTTGGGGGCAGCAAGCTGGTGGTGTGGATGACATTTGCTGACAAGCTTTCACACACGAGATGGAGTGACACTGGAGAATGTGTCCTGAAATAGATTTTTGCAGGGAGCTGGTAAGTGTGTGTGAGTCTACCAAGGCTTGCGGAGAAAACCTATCGTAACCTCTTTCACTTGCTGAGGCACACTAGCCTGGCAATCACAATTATTATCAGGAGCGAACATACACAGGATGTTTGCTACGTGCCAAGCACTGCTCCGAAACTTCGCTGTGACAGCTCATTTAACACACTCATTCAAGGGTACGGGTGATAGTCTTCTCATCCCCTCTTACAGATGGGGGAAGTCCAGCAAATCGCCCCAAGTTACATGGCCAGGAAGGGGGGGGTGCGGTCAGGATTTGAACACAAAGAGAGACATTAGGGATCTCTCTCTCATTTCTCTGTCGGTATCATTACATGACTCTATTCACAGCCATGAATATGAGATTTACAGAAGAATTATGGGATCCTAAAAGAAGCCTACTTTCACCTTCCGAGTACAGGGACCTCGCCCATCCCTGGGGTACTGAGGCTGCAGGACAGTTTAGGACTTCTCAGATACAGGGGCTGAGCCTCCAGCTTGGCAGGAAGCAGAGAAGGAGGCATCCAGGTTGCATGCCTGCTGGGTGGCAGAAGCAGCCAGGCACCAGGGGCCCCAGGGGTGGGAGCTGATTGGATCTGGAATGTCTGTGAAGGCTGAGTATATGTGCAGACTTGGTAGTCAGCCTGCAGTGAGCCAGAGAAATTGACAGAAATGGATTACCGTCCAGGAAACTTAAACATCACCTGGGGAAGACAGC